TTTCTCGTTTCCATACTAATAAATTGTCATTCATTTTTACCTCTCACATTTTATAGTTTTTAGAGAAGAAAAGACTTGACTGTGAGTCACACGTAATGTGGGCTGACCTGAAACAAAGCAAATGTGTCTGACGCATCTCTCTCGGCGTACCCTGTTAATAGCATGTTATGTATGGCAGCACAGATTCACTTTGGGATCCAAACTAAATTTCTTGGATGATTAATGGAACCTAAATAATGAACTTCTATTGGTTGGAATACAGATATATATATATATACACATATATATATATAATTTTTTTCTCCTTTTAAAATTCGGAATCTTAAGAGGGCTGGTTTTCAACATTTTACCATGTTTACTGAAGGGTTATTACCTTTTATCAAGATGTTTAGTAAATGTTCCTTCTATCTCTAGATTACCAAAAGTTTTTAACATGAATTGATGTTGAAATTTATCAGACATTGTTTATGGCCCTATTGAAGTGATCATATGATTTTTCTCCTTTAATCATTTGGTACATTACACTGATTTAAATAAAACCAACTTTTTTGTTTGTTTCTCTGTTTGGTCCTGGAGATTAAACCCAAGGGCACTTTGCCACTAAGCTACATCCCCCAGTTCTTTTTCTGTTCTTTTTTTTTTTTTTTTTTTTTTTTGTGTGTGTGTGTGTGTGTTTGTAGGGGGGTGGGATAAGTTTTCCTTTGTGCCCTAGAATGTGGATTGAACTCAGGAGTACTCTACCACTGAGCTACATCCCAGCCCTTTTTATTTTTTTTTTTAAGATAGGGTCTTTCTAAGTTGCTGAGGCTGACCTCCAACTTGCAGTCCTCCTGCCTTCACCTCTGGAGTAACTGGGATTACGAGCATGTGTCACCTCTCCCAGTCCAATCTTGGATATTTGTGACACATTCAACACTTGTTTATTATGTGTTATCTTTTTTTTTTTTGGTAAGTTGCTGAATTTGGTGGATTTATTTTTTGTTTGTTTGGCACTGCTGGGGATTGAACCCTGGGCTTCATGCATGCTAGGCAAGTGCTCTACCACTGATCTACATCCCTAGTCCTGAGCTTGATTTCCTAGTATTTATTTAGGACTTCTGAATCTATATTCGTGATTGAGAACAAAGTATCATTTTTTTCTTCTGTTGTCCTTGTTAGGTCTTAGCATGGAGGTCTCATCAAATGAATAAAGGGTGTCATCCATTTTCTGTATTCTGGAATATTACACATGAAATTGGTATTCTTTGTTCCTTGAATTTTTAAAAGAATTTACCAATAAAACCATTTGAACTTGACATTTTTCTTTGTGGGAAGATTTTTAATTACTGGTTCAGTGTCTTTGCCTGTTACAGTTTTGTTCTGGATTTCTATTTAATTGAGTAAGTTTAATAAAATGTTTTTCCCTAGGAATTTTTGTGAGTTTTAAAATTAATTGGCAGGAAGTTGTTAATTATGTCTTTTTTAAAAATCTCTATAGCATCTGTAGTTGTCTCTTTTTCATTTTTGATAGTGTTTGTTCAGACCTTTTTTGCTTTTTTTAACCTTAACATATACTTTGTCTTTTTGATAAGTAACTTTTAGCCTTATTTCTCTCTTGGTAATTTTTTGTATTTCATTGATTTCATACTAAAACTATTCTGTTATTCTTTTTTTCTAATTAATTTGGTTGGATGACTAGTGCATTAATTTTTTTTGCCCTTTTTATTTAGAATATGAGCTTATAACCAAGTAAGATGTCTTTTGAGGCTGGGAATGATATAGACTGATGATTTCCATGTCTCTTAAGGTTCATGTCTTATCTAGAAATAGTTGCTAGTCGTTTTCCCTTTCACTCCCCAAAGTGTCCCAGTTTGGACAATCAATTATTTGATCTCCCTACCCAAATCCTGCTTTAGTTACATTATATAAGTTATGATTTGTAGCATTTTAAAAATGCAGTTACAAGTACTTCCTATCATTTCTTTTGACCTTGGAGTTATGTACAAATATATTTCTTAATTTCTAAGCATGAAATGTGATTTTTATTTAAATGTCATCATCAGAGTATTTTAAAAAGTTGATATAGTTGAGGAAACAAGGTAGGCCTATGACTCTGGAGTTGAACAGACTGACAGACCTAGGGTTGAATCCCAGCTCTTCTACTGTAGGATGTCAGGCAGGCACTTCACTTCTGTAAGCTGTGGTTTCTTCGTCTGAAAATGGAAGTATACTACACTTCCTGCATAG